TCTCTCTCTCTCTCTCTCTCTCTCTCTCTCTCTCTCTCTCTCTCTCTCTTCCCCCCCCCCTCTCTCTCTCTCTCTCTCTCGTTCTTTTTTGCCCTGAGCTAAGGACGGGTTTCTCACTCTGCTCGCAGTTGATTATACATGTATCATTGTTTTGCTGGTGCTGTGGGTCCTTCGGCCTCGTTGCTGTCACACCTGCTGCCCTGGTTTGTGGTATCACTTTGTCTGCTCATCCGTTCGGTCCGCATGCTATTTGTGTTGCTGTTCTGTTTGCTCTGATGACTGCCTATGTGTGCAGAAATCATCGACGACCTGGGCAATCGTGTTGATCGCACCAACGAGCGCTTAGTGAAAACGACCAAGGCGGTTCGTAAAGTGCACATGAAGGCGTCAGACACAGGTATGGCCGCCATGATATCTGCTTCTACTCTGGAGTAACTACTGTAGCTACTGCTCTGTGCACTCTACTAACTGCGTGTCAGTGTAGCTGGCTTGTTTCTACAAAAACCTCCTGTTGTGCTCACCGAAATCCGATCCAAAGTGCACAACTGGCACCCTAGGCCCTGGACATGAAAAATAGGGATTCACTAGCCAGAAAAAGCCGCTTCAATTAGCTGTGCAGTTTGTAGACCAGGCTAAAAGTAGTGGCGGTCGAATCATCAGCCTTGCAAGCTGTTGAATGGTGTAATCCCGGCACAAGTCACTATGTCTAACATAGCTGCTCGCTATCATCGCTTCCGCAATGGGCAGGTCTGAGGTGTGTGTGTATGCACGTGTGTTTGCTTCCTCAGGAATGTGCTGTATCGTCGTTCTACTGCTCATCGCAATTGTCGTCGTCGCCGTCGTACCCAAATAGCAAGTCTCCTGTTTACAGAAACCTCTGCCACAGTGGGTGGCTTCCTCTCCTCTTGCCGTGCACCAAGTGTTTGTGCAATGTGTCAAGTTGCTCTTGCACATCAGAATCACTGTTTGTCAAGTTCGCTTTTCCCATCACCTGCTCTCTGTGTCTCTCAGCAGTCCGTGTTGTCTTCTTGGTGAATGGTCGTTGCTGCATTCTCTCATTTACTCTCTCACCTGGTTATCGCTGCCCATGTGCACAATTGATTGACGGGGTGGCATCCCCGGTGCACAATGTACAGGGTTGCTTCTGTTGCTGTCAAGCTGTTATGACCTCCATGACTGTCCTCTCCCCGCTGCTCGGTGTCCGCTCACCACAGTGCGGTGTGCGCGCTCTGTGCAGCTTCTGCGATTCGCGGCACATTGTGAGCTGCTGTTGATTTCTCTAGTTCTGTACATATTGATCTCTGCCCGTGCATTCTAGGCAGCTGCACGCAAGTAGCTAGTCCTCGCCAGCTGGAGAAAGCCACGTTAGCCCTGCTCGCGTTTTCCAGGGATTTTTTTATTGGCAGAGCCTCACTCTAATACTGACGTGCATGGCATGCCTCCGCTGCCGCTGCTAGCGCTCTCATAGTGCGCCGTGGCTCATAAAACATTACATTACAGTATTGATTTTTGAACTCCCTCCTTTAATACAACCCACTGACTATCGTGCGATAGTTTTTATCTCTGTGCCCTTGCTCTACTTAGTTTGACGTGGCTCTGGGTTGGAGCTACTGTTCTCCTACTACACCTAGAGAGTTGTATTCATAAATGAATGTTATTTGCTATTTACTATACCCACTGAATGCATGACTAGTGTTGTTCTGTGTGGACGGTGTACCGGCGTTGATCACTCGTCTACTTTACCTCTATCTTATTTTATTTTTATGTTGATATTTTCCACCAGTGAATCTCTTTAACTGCTTGCATTCTATAAGACTAAGAAGTATTCTTAAAACTCAGTGTGTTGTCTGTACGTCTTGAAGTGCGCACCCAGTTTCCATCAAGTGTTGTTTGTTGTTAATGCAGGATGAAGGTGTGCAGCCATCAGCAAACCGGAGAAGAGAAGTCTGGCCATCCCAAACCCCAACCATCTTCCCTCCTGGAATGATTGCTTTTATAGCCTATCTTGGCTCTGAACTTCACACCTGCAATGATTGGCCAACCACTCTCAGCCAATCAGAGATCAGCAAGACTTAGTGCTGTTTCTTGTTTCTTGTTTCTGCATGAGGAAAGAGTCGGAGTGCAGCCATCAGCAAACCGGAGCAGAAGCAAGCCGGCAAATAGAAAGCTGCGTGGATTTACGCAGTCCTTTTGAAGTATCTGCGCCTTGATCCTTGAAGGGTGGTGGCGTTCCTACGGATGCGGAAAACTCGGCTTCCAGCCGAGTCTCACGCGAACCGTGAAATTATTATTTTATTTTTTTGAAGTAATGCATTCGCTTCTTCAGGCTGCATTGGGCACAAACCCTTCACTCACACAGACAAAAGATCCAAAACAATAAAAATTGAAGTGCTGCTCGCATCTCATACCTCGCTATGAGTCATTTTTTTATTCTTGAAAACGGCCATGATGAAAAGAATGAGTCCTGCCTACATGCATGGCCTCGCTGTTAAAAAAAATGAATCATAAATGAATGCCAACGTTATCATTATTCCATGAATTTAGACTGCTTGGATGGAGAGCCAAGGGTTATAATTAAAAATCTGCTTATAATCGTTAGTGTTGGACAATGTGGATAACTTGTAAACTTTTGGTCCTCTTTTTTTTTAATTTAGACTAACGGTATCTTTCTAGAAAGTCGGCGGCCAGAATAATCAAAGAGCAGAGGAAAACCAACCAGCAAGGCAGCAACCGCACGGTATACAGCTAGCCAGAGGACTGAACTCCTACACACAGTAGTCAGCGGATACACAGCCATGGGCCCTGGACTCCATCACACACAACAGTATACACAACAGCAGGCCTGTAAGTTACTCTGCCATTCGGTCACGTTGACCACTGTCACTGATTCCTTGTGGCTGTACCTCACTTTTTTTTAACGTACAAAGGGCAGAAGTGGTCCCTCTCGATTTGCACATACCACTGCACCATGTGGGACACACACACACACAGCGACACACACGCACACACACGCACACACACACGCACGCACACACACACACACACACACACACACACACACACACACACACACACACACACACGCGCGCCTACACCACAATGTCATACTCCAGCATGCACTGGCTGTAGGTAACCACCCAGTAAAATGAGAAAGAGTGGGAGACCATAATCATCGGGAATTGAACCGGTAAACTCTTGATTGGAAATCGATTGTACATGCCACTACACGATATGGGATACACACATGCGCGCGCACGCAGATGCACACACACACGCACATACACACTCACACACTCACACCGGCGCGCGCACACACAAACAAACACACACACACACATACATACACACACACTCACACCGCCGCACACACACATGCACACACGCACACACCGTCGCACACACACACACACACCTCAGACATGCCCATCGCGTAAGCGATGATAGCGAACAGCTATGTTAGACATCGCAATTTGTGCTGGGATTACACCATTCAACAGCTTGCAAGGCTGATGAATTGACCGCCACTATTTTTAGCCTGGTATCCACCACACAGCTGTTTGAAGTGACTTTTTCTGGCCAGTGAATCCCTATTTTTCATTTTTCCATTTTTTTTACACACACACCACATACTCCGGCATACACTGGCTGACACACACACACACACACACACACACGCGCGTGCGCGCGCACGCACGTGCCCACACGCATGTGCACACACCATCACCACCACCACACATACTCACTCACTCACTCCGACACTGGACTTATGATAGGAGTCGGATGATGAAGCACGTGCACTTCATGCGAACCTGCCTCTACGTCCACATCCGATTCGGCAGGACTCAACCAGCCTTGTGTGTGAAGTTGTGGTGGGCACAAGCGCAAAGTGGCAGTGCAGAGCGTAGGAGCCTGAGATAGGCGTAGGTGTATACTGCTTGCGATCATCATCGTCCGCTCTTCATTGTCATTTGGTGAAACGATAATATACGAAGCAGCCTGGTCTGCATGTGACTGGGGAACTGAGAGATTGTGACACGTTCTAGAACGATGCAACATATCACTGGTGTAAGCAGGCGGAGGTGTTCCCGTCCCTTCAGAGTGTTGGTGACCAGGCAGTATGACGCACACGCTGGCATACGAGGGTGGCGGTGCTGTGGACAGTACACCGTTCAGCTCCAGATGAGTTGGCCGGCAAGCTGGCTCCTCCGGACTGCTAGCGGTGCTCGCTGTGGGTGGTGGTGTTGGTGGTGGCGGTGGTGGTGGTGGTGGTGATAGCGGTGGTGGTGGTGGCGGTGATGGTGGCAATGGAATAGCAGGCATAGCCGGAATCTGAGGTTCAACTGGGTCCTGCCTGGCTGGACAGAGGTGCTTGATCCAGCGTTTCCTGAAGGCCGCCACACCCGAGATAATAAGCAGTAAGAAGATACTGCTTAGTAAAGTGAGCACTGCGTTCATTTGAGGGAGAAAGAAGTAGAGAGCCATTGACAAACCAAAAGCAAAAATTGCCAGAAGCAACCAGAAGACTGGGTGGTTGAACATGTCATCCGTAACTGCAGAGAATGAAATGAGACAGCACACCGAATAACAGAATATGAAGGTACCATAGCTTCCGGGGTGTTAGCCATACCCGGGTCTAAGCCGAAAAATGTTTAAATTCAAATGCATGCACAAGGTCGCTCGGGAAATACTGGGAGAGGTATACGCACGTTCACCCGTTTTAGTTCAAAATAGTCTTTGCAATGCAAAAAAACCGTCGGATGTGCAGCTTACACAACAGAAATACAGATGTTGGTCCCGAAAGGGGGGGGGGGGGTTACAGCTTAGACCCCTTGTGGCGAAAACCCCGGAAATATGGTAAACAAAGCGGGAAGAAGCAGGATTTCAATCCACTATGGTGTGAATCCCAAGCAGTCCTATTTGCCACCAAGCCGCTGTGCTGCTGATGCTGTGACTTTGTTGTTGCAACAATCTTGGTTGCGCTCACCTTCCCCTCCTATCACGGTTTTCATATAACTTAGAACCTTCCAAGTTGGAAGGCTGTTGGAGTGCGCACCCAAGACATGCTAGAGCTGATAGCCAGTTAGTTGTAGAACGTCAGTATTGTCGGTCAGTTTTGTGCAATCATGGTTATCGCATGAGCTGATTGTCGATTAACTGGTGGTGTTAGTGGACATTATAGCGTATTAACTTGTAGTTCTCTAGTCCTTTTCTTTACTATACCGAAAACAATCTTGTGTCCAAAATATATATATATATCTATGCAACATCTAGAATCGGTCAAATGGAGGAGGACGATCCAATCAATGGAAGGCGCTTGTTCAAGTGTCGGTTGTTTACATGAGAGGAAGATTTACATAGGATAAAATGCCTCGGCTTAGATTTTTATAGGCAAAACAAGTTATAAAAACCTCGCCTGGGCCTCGGTTTAACATGATTCAGGTTTTTTATTCCCTGTAAAAACTCAGCCTTGGCATTTATCCTATACAAAAGAAAAATGGACCAAGGAACTACAAGTTACGCTACAATGTCCACTATTAAACACCACCAGTTACTAAAAACAATCAGCTCATGCGATAACATTGCACGACACTGACCGACACTGAGTTAGTTGTAGAACGTCAGTACCGTCGGTCAGTGTCGTGCAATGTTATCGCATGAGCTGATTGTTACGTAACTGGTGGTGTCAGTGGACAATATAGCGTAACTTGTGGTTACTTGGTCCATTTTTCTTTTGTATACCGGTAAATCAATCCTTGGCTCTCCATCCGAGTCCATTCTTGGCATTTATCGTCCTATACATAATTGCTGAACGTGATAACCAAAGCCTTTTAGAAACACAGAAGCTCTAAAAGCAAGCTCACCTTGGCCGCATCTGTTGACATGGACCCGCCACCGCATCCGTAGCACATGCCGCGGGAGCCAGCGGTCTTCATAATCGTTTGGTGCCGGGCGAATGTTGGCCCTTCTAGGCCAGGTTGGGTGAAGTCCAGGGATATTGGGTGCTGCGGCAGCATTGCGGTCTGCTGGTCGTGCAGGCCCCGGGACGGCTTCTGGGTCAGGCATAGTCGTGCAGTGTTGGCCAAGCCGTACGCTCTCTGTCCTGGTTAACAGTCCGCAGAGATCTTTCCCGTGTGCTTTGTGACCTGAAAAACACAAAAACACACGAACCAAAGAGAACAGTTTGCCATTTCCATCATTTACAGTGAGTCATGGAAGCCACGATGCATGCCTGCACTTGACAGTGTGTACAATTTGTCACAGCGGTTGCACTCAGTGATTTGCATCGCTACGCCCCACGATGAAGTGAACAGTGAATCAGTGTACTGTGCAGAGCCCTCAAGTGGGGTTGCGCACCTTAGATCCTCTACTCATGGTCATATACCCTATATGCTACAATGGCAGAAGAGAACTGAGACAACCGGCTAGGTCATTGTCGTAACGCTGCGTTTCATGCACGTAGCAAAGCTAAGGCAATCCTCGGACAACTGATAATCTGTACATCATCTTGCTACAAACTTATATCCAGGCAAGTAGCGTGGTGTGATGGGTACCTTTATGCTACATGCCGTGCATGTATTGGTATACAACACTATACATGTATTGGTATGCAGTAAAACCTGGTTTTAGCGACCACCTGCTTTTAATGAACGTTTTCCACGCATGGACAGTTCTACACAGAAACTGCACCGGTTGCAGCGACCACCTGCCTTGCGTGACCAGCGACCGACTTTCAGTGTACCAAGTGCCATATTGGACCTGCACACAGCGACCAAAACTAGCCAAATGTGCCATCTTGGCTGGCAGGGTTGACTGCCACAGGGTTGAAGTGCGCTCTGAAGCAAGTGCATGCAGTCAACAGAAGTGACAAGTAACAGTGCAGGATACGCTGCATGCTCTTGAGAGAGGTGTGCATGCTTTGCCTGTACTTGTATGCTCCACACCTGCCAATATGAGACTGGAAGTACAAGTACAATCATGCACATGTATGTACACGATCCCATATGCCACGAATGTATGGGACCTGGTTCTACTGTGACGACCGCTTTTGCTTGCACGTGGGTGGTCCTAGACCGTCAGGCTGTGTGCAGCAATCACCATCTCTTCCCATTCAATACTTGCAGTGGGGAGGAGGAGTACACGTCTACACTTGATGTCCAATCTACATTTAGGTACTTCTCTGCCCACGCCTAGCGCCCAGGCTATAGACATAATACCAGTATACGCGTATGCATAACAGGGGCGGAGGAAGGAGCTTGGGAGTGGTCCGGCCACACTTTGAGGGGGGTCCGGGGACCCGTTCAAGTGCGCGGAGGGATTCCTGTGGACAAACTGTAAACAGACAACAATTCGGTGCTGCAAAATTTCATCAGCGATTTATTTTCGGCACAGGGATAATACTAGCACAGCTAGCACCAGAGCCGATGCGAACATTTTCATCGGCGTTTTAATTTCGCCGTTTATGGTCGGTGCCGAATATAGCCGAAATTAAATAGCTGCCGAAATTTTGTACAGTCATCTTCGCTTATAGCGACACTCGGCGGGGCATCAAAAAGGGTCCTTATTCGCGAAGTGTCATTATACCCGAAGTCTCGTTATAATTATGTATTGCAGTTGGATGGGACTTTGCTCTGGGCATGGAAATTCTGTCGTTATTCGCGAATTGTCGCCGGTTATATCCGCAGTCGTTATTAGCGAAGTTGACTGTGTCTACGGTAGTTGAAGTTGATGGGTGAGATTAGCAGGAGTGCACAGCACAGCGCATAGAGTGCTGGAAACTGAAATCCGACCCCCTGAGCGGTGTGTTAACATTCTTTGCGATGTGAGCGCACCGCTCAGGGGCCAGGGGGTCGGATTTCAGTTGCCAGCACTGTACTTCAAGTACAGTCGTCCCTCTCTAATCCGGCACTTTATAATCCAGCACCCTCGATAAACCAGCACAATTTTCAGTAGCCAAAATGTCCTCTTCATGCACATGGCAGCAGTAAATCAGATTTGTTAATCCAGCACCCTCCCTAATCCAGCAGATTTTCGTGGCACAAATGGTGCCGGATTATAGAGGGACCCCTGTATTGACATACTCAAGAATACAGACAACACTACAGTCCATTCATAAAAAGATGGGTCCTGGCTCTGGCGAGCTCCCGTATTTGGCTATTTTTCGTGATTTCATCGTACACAGTGCAGTGCTGCGAACTTTGAAATTTGAAAAAGGGTCCAAAAAGGGTGCCTGAACTGGGGTTCGAACCGCAGAATGCACTGTTGCAGGCGGGGTCAAACGGCCTGGATTTTGATGGTTTTTCCCAATTCAGTGCTTTTGGGGCAAAACCTGGCCGAAATCCTATTCTTGCTATGGCTTGCTTTTTGGACAAAAAAACTTCAGAAACATAATATTATTGGAAGAGGATGGGATTGCAGAAAAAATTCTAAAAAAACTCAACGTTTGACCCATTTATGGCCAAAAGCTAGAAGTTCATTTTTTTCTGAATGTACTGTAACACTGAGTAAAAATCAGTGTTCCAGGCAGACGAGTAAGTCAGTAACGCACACTCACCGGAAAATCAGAACTAGATCACCATGATCACCCGCACCATACCGAGCGGCATATGCAGGCAAGACGAAAAACTCGCAAACGGAGAACCCCTTCGTTGTGACGGCCGTTACCCGCTGTCCTAGCCCTGAAGTTGGCAGTTGCGCTGGCTGGCTGACGCTACGTTAGGTTGGTGGTTGCTTGGTCGTCTATGCGTTTTCACTGGCTAGCGATGGTTGCTTGGCCTTTCACAGCGGAAATCAAGGCTGCGTGTTAGGAAACACAGAAAGTCCCAGAATCATCGCTAAACTTCTTCACCACCAAGATGGCATTGGAATACGCAAGAACGAACTCACCACTCGGCTCACAGAGTCAAATGTTCTCCGCGGATTTTCGGTACTATTGATGTTGCAAAGAGTGCATGAATGTACTCGGAATGACTTGACGATACATGTTTGGGTTAGGTGGACTAGTAGGCACGATGCGAAGTTCACAGAAAGCAAGGCATCTTCAACAAATTTTTAAATTAGTCCACTTCGCACTACGCGTACAGTCGGTACACACTATCACAGGACACTGTGTGGCTTGGTGTTGCTTGACTGTTCGATCCTCCTATCCGTGCCCTGCCGTGCAGTGTCCTGCCTTGCACGCGGACAAGCGGCCTGCCCAGGCCAAGTCCAAGAGCTAGATATACAATAGAGGCAAGATGGGCCCCCGGCGAGCTAGAAATCAGTAGGACTACAATTTACAAAGGAGGGTGGACCTGAACTGGATACGCGAGTGGAGCAGGAGTCTGAGGAGAAATCGTAGGTCGAGTCGGTCTAGTTAGCGGCGCATGCTCAGTAAAACACCTGGCCGTGGTGACCAGACCAGACTCCAGCTCCGCTCCACGACCAGTCCAGAGCCATCGGTTCGTTGTTGGCACAATCATGGACATGGCAAAGCACAGGCAGAACACAACACACTGTAGTCTGTAGTCTGTAGCGCCTGGCTGCAGTACAGTATCACCCACGCAGCGCCATCACGTCAGCGCAAGCGATTATCGTTTGTGCTGACGACTACAGTGTAGTCTACGAACCCTGTACTGTAGCTGAACTCAAAAGTACAGCAATGAACACCGCCATCCAGACTTGCAGGGTACCCCCCCCCCCCCCACCACCACCACACACACACACAATACACTTCCATTTCTACGTCCACATGCCCGTCCCTGAAGAGATGATAGCGAACAAGCACGCGCACACACACGCATGCACACACACACGCACGTACACACACACACACACACTTGTACTTGTTGCTCACTGCCATAACTGGTCACGTGGGTCTCCCCGGGAGAGGGGAGAGAGACTCAAAAGGAATCTTGGAAAGATGACTCAATTGGCTATTGAACCGCCCAACGGCCGACACCCCCTGAAATCCCCAAAACTCTGGGCGGACTTGAAAATGATCCCACTTATGGGCTCACCACACCTCAGTAAGTGGGTGAGGACAAGGTGCATAAAAAGGATGGACGGCATCAGGGTATCCGTCCCGGGCTCCAACTGCAGTTACCCCTGCCCCCAGTGAAGGTAATACTTGCTACTAGTGTGAGTGGCTAAATCAGAGTGGATCTGATACAAGCTTCACTAGCACCATGATTACACAAGAGTTAATCTAGCCAGAAGTAGTCCATGGTTAACAGGTATGTATACTTCAAATAGAAAGTATATGAACCCTGAAACCAACAAAGGTGGTAGGTACAACATTACACATTCCAGCAGCCGAGCCCGTTGGCAACAGACCCAGCACTATCCGGCATAAGTGTACCCACCAACCAAACTAGCTGACACACACACGCACGCACGCACGCACACACACACACACACACACACACACACAGACAAGCACAACTGGTGACCAGAGGAGGTAAAATACACAGTCATCACGCTGATGATGCTTTTAGATAAAAAGCCTCCTAAAAAGGTTTAAAAAAACTTGCAAGTGTTCTATGAGGACTTCTTTCAAAAATATGGAAAATATTTCTGGGACGGGGTGGCGCCGTGGCATCAACAAAACATTTTGACTAAAACTTAGGACATGAAGACTAGTATTTATGTGATGGCTAGCAGGTTTCAAACACCAACAGGGCAATGTGCTCACTTGAAAGCGGTAAATTTTAAAAATGATGTGGCGTGAACATGACAAGATGATAATGTGATAAATAGAAAACACCTAACGTTGAGAGGAGCAAAGAAGAGATGAAAAGCCAAACGCTACATTTGGCGCAATCGCCAGGCCGGCTGACCTCTTGCCAACAACTTTGCACCTAAAATTGGGAGATGATAAACTCTGGGACAAATACTGCAACAACAAACCGCAGCAAACCGCAGCAATACCGCAGCGAAACCGAATGCTGACAAGTAGAACAGTGCCTAGAAAGTTGCTGGTGTGAAGCGAACACTGCAAACAAAAATAGCAAAGTGTGCAGTGAGACCAGAAAAAAATTCTTGGTTGAGTAAGAAACCTGGTCACAAAGGTAACAGCAGGCATACTGTCGTATTATACGCCTTCTCTGGAGAAGCAAAAATCGAGTATTTACTGGCAATAAAGGTTAGAGTAAGGATTGGATACTTTGCAGGGACACGGGAATATTGTGAAAGGGGCACTCATGAACCATGGAGGGTGACTTGATGTAGAAAGCCAGTCCCGCAACGACAGTATGTAGAGCACAAGAGAAGCAATGATGATAGCAGCAGCAGCTGATAAGTATGTAGAGCACAAGAGAAGCAATGATGATAGCAGCAGCAGCTGAAAAGACGAGTCTACTGTGACAGGCTGCACGTGTGCCAGACAGTGCATGGGATAAAAGTTGTCTCCGTCTCTCCAATGCTTCAACCAGCACCCACATGAAATAATGGACATGGTGAAGAAACGCAGTGAGTGTGTGTGTGGAGGGGGGGGGGGTGAGAGAGAGTGTAACAAGATTTCCAAGACTTCCCGCCAAGAAACAACACAAGGATAGGAAAAGAAACACGTCGTGAGCTTGGGCAAAGGAGAAAGACGTAGCTGTGCGTGTACGAGAACGAGAGAGAGAGAGAGAGAGAGAGAGCACATACGTAGCGATACCAAGCATGGCTATACTTTCTTCTCCGCCTTCATGGCGTCCTGGACAAAGTCAAACGCGCCGGCCTTCGTGTTCTTGCCGAGAAAGGAGAATCCGGCATCAGCATCACCAGTCTTTGCCAGCTGCACCTGGGTACGTCCTGTCGGTCCCATGTACACGCCCTGCGGTTGAGCTGGTGCTGCGGCTGCGGCTGCTGGGTTTATGGGGCTGGACATGGTCATCGGGCGCATCATACCCACTCCTCCAGCACCGCCAGCCGTTGACTGCATCATGCCAGCTTGCAGCTGTTGCTGCTGCGGCCGATGCATGTGCATACCGGCAGCCATCGTACCCTGACCAGGGGTTGTTTGTCCCGGGGCCATCATGCCCGTATTCCTCATCATACCGCCAGGCTGCAAGAAACAGCACCGGGATCAACAATTCACCGTACAGTTGATGGTAACACATTCCCATGCGCATACATGTGCATATGCTGTGTGTGTGTGTGTGTGTGTGTGTGTGTGTGTGTGTGTGTGTGTGTGTGTGTGTGTGTGTGTGTGTGTATGTATGTGTGTGTACGTGTCTGTATGTACATGCGTGTGAGTGCTTGCATCTGTGCATGGCATGCATGCACGTCAGTGAGTGGTAGCATCCAGGGAGACTATACGGACGACTGTAACACTACATGATTTGGGTTCCAGTTGCCCTTGGGGCAGAGTTGCCCCTGGTGTCGTCTCCTTAACTGCATATACGTGGTGTGTTTGTGGATGGATTTCAAGAACGTTCAGACTTGGACGTAATAGGCATGTCACTACAGCTCACCTGCTGCTGTTGTTGCTGCAGCGGTTGCATCATATTGGGGGTTGTTGTTGCTGCTGCTGCTGCTGG